TTTTACTATTTTGATTGGTTTAACCTTTATATGACAAAAAAGTTAACAATATAGTGATGTTTTGTTTTAGGTGCTTAACTGATGGGTCTAATTGATTATTGATGAATTTTTAATTAATTTTGTATGTTTGCAACCGGCTATAGCAAGTTGGAATGGTTTTATGACTTGGCATAGTTGTAAATTTGTCCTGTTTTGCGGTGCTCAAATATATTAACTTCTTTGATGACCGTTCATGAGTCTCCGGCTGTAAAAAGGCCAGATCCAATTTATTTCGGAGATCGGCTATCTTTCATGGTTGCTCTCATTTGGATTAGAAAACCCTTCCAATAAGAGATTGCTTACATAATGCAACTATATGTTGGTAAACATTCTCTAAAATTTTCACCAACACAAACTATCAAAAGCTGGTTTTGTGTGACTCTTAGCCGGTTGAGGAAAATTCACGAGTCTAAATTGTAATTTAATCACGATTTATAATGATGATTTTTTTTTTTAATAATAGACGATAATGAATTTTTCTTATTATTTAAATCTGATGATGTGGCGTGAGAGAACACTCTGTTAGGATTTGCTTTAACTAAGAGTCACACATAACCAACTTTTAATATGACAAAAATTCCACAATCGGAGGTAAAAAAAATTCAGAGAATGTTTACCAAAAGAGAGTTGCGTTATGTCAGCAATCTCTTATTGGAAGGGTTTTCTCTTCTCTGGCTGTAGCAAGTTGGGATGGTTTTATGACTTGGGATAGTTTTAAATGATTGGGATTAATTAAATAAAGACTTATGATAAGGATAATAGATAAAACTTCAAATAGCTGGTATTTTTTTAAGGAATATAAGAGGCAAATGACCCTTTTTAAGATTTTTTTTTAAGAAATAGTCAAAGTTTTGTAAAATTAACAAAATGGCTATTTTTTATTAATTAAATAGTCAATCACTGATTGACTAGTAGTCAATCACTGATTGACTAGCGGTTAATTACTGATTGACTTAAGTTTATCACTGATTAATTTAATTTGTGAGAACAATACTATTGACAATAGAAAATTAGAAAAAATCAAGTAAATGGTTGTTTTTAGTCACTTTTTTAATAAATGACTGAACTTTTTATTTTTTAGATAAATGGCCGATCTTTTTTTTTTTTATGGGAGCAAAAGTAATTTTTTTTCAGTAGTCAATCAATAATTGACAAACTGATTGATTGATTTATTATTATAATTTACTAATGATTTAACATTAATAAACATGTAATTTGTTGATCGAAATTAATTAATTATCAATTAATTTATGTTAATTATTAATTGATATTGATTAGTAATGAAAAACTATTGAGTTAGTCAGTGATTGATTATTAAGTCAATCAATGATTGACTACTAAGTTAATCAGTAATTAACTATTAAGTTAATAAAAGAAATGATATTTTGCTAATTTTACAAAATTTCAGCTATTTTAAAAAAAAAAAAAATTCCTTACAAAAGGACCTTTTATTTCTGTATCCCTAGAAATCGATCGGGATTGCCAAGAGTTTGGCGATTTAAGAGTAGTAAAGACCTGAACGTCAAAAACATAAAATTTGATGACCTATATTGCAAAAGTCTCTAACAAGGGATTAAGAAAAGAAAATGGATTTTTTTTTTTATTTACCTTTTCTTTCCCCTTGATCTTGTAGGATTTTTTTTTTTTTTTTTTTTTTTTTTTTTTTTTTTTTTTTTTTTTTAATCTCCAGAACTTCCCCCCCTTCAGAATTTTTTTTTTTAAAATTTTTTCCTTAGCCCATAATCCCGTGAAAAATGATTTTGGTCACCTAGTAGGTGGAACTACCTTGTGGGTTGTGGTTTTTTCTTTTTGATTTTTTAGTTGTTTTGCATAGTTTTAATAGTTAGACGAAGGTTGGTAATTGAATTTTAAGGACAAATTTGAGATTAAATAATATAAAGGAATAGGGTCATTATTGTTGTAATGCAGGTTCGATCATGTCCTAACAAAACGGAGAAAAAAAAATACACGGTTGATAATGGTTTTAGCACTGGGAGCGCTTGTATTTGCACCCAAGGTCCAGGATTTGAATCCTGGAAACGGCCTCTCTTTCGGGGGATAAAGCCGCGTACATATGAGATTGAACTTTCCCCCGAACCTGTCATAATGCGGGAACCTCTTTGCACTTGGGGTCCGCCTTTCTTTCTGCAGAGTACTTAAAGGAATACAAGTAGTATGCTACCATTGTTGTAATGCAACGCAGTGTCGTTAAAGAAAAAAAAAACATGGTTCTTTTTTCTTTTTTCTTTTTTGACACTAAGCAAAACTTGAAAAGAAGGCATATCAATAGAAGGGTTGCTAACTAATAGTTTGATTACCAATAGTCAGAACAAGAACACTTTCCATCACTAAAATGGTGAAACCTGAAAGGGTCTCTCAACATGATTTTCCTCCCCACAATCCCACTCACAAACTTGTAAACAGAATGGCAATCACCACAAACTCTCAGGTTCTTGAAAATCCTAATGGGTGAACCTTCTGGAGTGCTGATCAATGCATATGCAAGGGCAATTCTCTCACTGTGGTTCCAAAGATTTTGCTCCTTTTGCTCCTCATCTGTGTCTTGAAGCGCATAACTCGTATCCACGACATAACCCGCTTCTCGAATCGTCTTCATGAGCTCCCCTAACTTGGCATAAATTTGGACATTTTGAGGATGGGACTTCTCTCCCATCCCAAACTTACTTATCTGGTTTTTCGACTTGACCCAACTACAAGCGGGTTGTTTCTTTATGTTGTTTGATCCCATTTTAGTCCTTACATTCTCTACAACATCCCATCTACCACTAGTTGCACAGACATTTGAATAAAGAATATAAGCCGAATCATCTGATGGGTCCAACTCCAAAAGCTTGTCCGCAGCTTTCTTCCCTAGCTCCAAATTCTGATGGATCTTGCATGATGCCAACAAGCTACGCCAGACAAAGTCATTTGGTGGTACAGGCATATCTTTGATGAAGTCTTCGGCATCAGAAAGTCTTCCTGATCTACCAAGAAGATCGATTATGCACACGCAATGCTCTATTGCTGGTGGGACACCGAACTTTGTTTTCATTGAAGCATAGTATTCAAGACCCTCATCTACCAAACCGCCATGACTGCATGCGGATAAAAGCGAGACAAAGGTGACATGGTCGGGTTTCTCTCCCCATTTTAGCATTTCTTGAAAAGTCTCCCTAGCCTTGTTGAAACACCCATGTCTGGCATAAGATGAAATCAGTATGTTCCATGATAACCGCGTCCTTATAAAAGGCGGGGAAAGTATCCTTAAGACATCATCCATTTCTCCACATTTTCCATACATATCCATTGCTGTGTTTGTCACATAATGATCCAACTCAAAACCGAGTTTTATAACTAGTCCATGTAGTTGTTGGCCTTCCTCTAATATAGCTAAGTCGGCACTTACAGAAAGTGCAACCGATAAGCTGAACTGATCTAACAACAATCCAGCGTTTCTCATCTTCATGATGAGTTTTAAAGCTTCTTCTCCACAGCCATGATGAGCATTTGCAGCAATAATCGCATTCCAAGTGATCGAGCGCTTAGTAGATAATCCATCAAACATGAAGCTACTGGAATGTAAATCCCCACACTTGGCATACATTGTTATAAGTGAAGTCTGCACAAATTTATCCGAATCAAATCCTGTCCGAACTATATACGCATGAATGGGCATCCCCTGTTTTTGTAAACAGTCAGGAGTTGAGAAAGCGCCAAGAACATTAACAATTGTAATGTAATTCTCTCGAATACCTTCTTTTCTCATCATGTTAAAAGCTTTCAACGACTCATTTGCTTCTTCATTCTCAGCATGACAACCGATGAGGGCGTTCCAAGTTACTTCATCCCGCTTCGGCATTATTGTTGATACTTTTCTCGCTTCTGCCATCACACCAGATTTTCCATACATGGTAACTAGTGCATTGCCAATGACTATATTGGCTTGTAGGCCAGATAGTACTGCAACAGCATGAAGTATCTTGCCCTCTGCTATGAATTCCAGGTTTGAACAAGCAGCCAATGCGCTCGTTATAGTCACATAGCTCATAGTTTTTATCACCCGACGCATATCAGCAAAAAAGTTCAATGCTTTTTGGCTTTCCTCATTCTGAGCATAGCACGCTACCATGGAGTTCCACGATATTAAGTCCTTCTGTGGCATTCTTTGGAAAAACGACTCCGCATCTTTCCATCTTCCAGCCTCAGAATACATCTTTAAAAGAGAATTTCCAACACAGACATTTGACTCCAATCCTGATTTTACAACTAGTCCATGAATTCCTCGGCCCCACTTCAAGTTATCTACAGAACTGCTGACCGTTAACAAGGACGAAACCGTGCTAGAATTCACTTCCTTATGAACATGCCGCATCCAATAGAAATACCTTAAAGATTCTTCACAAAGCCCATTTTGAGCATTAGCAGATATAATCGAATTCCACGAGATTGTGTCACGTTCATCCATGTCATTGAACACACGGCAAGCCTCCTTAACATTACCACAGCTACCATACATGGCTATAAGCGAGTTCCCCACCGAAACATTAGTATCAAGACCGGACTTTACAACATTTCCTAGAACTTGAAGACCTAATAATTCATCCTCAAGCGTCCCACAAGTTTTCAAAACCAGAGCAATTGTGTTCTCATTGCAACATACGCTCTCACGCCTCATACTCCTATACATTTCTATAACTTTCTCCGATTCTCCACCATCCGAATGCCCGACCATTAATGATGTCCAAGTGACAACATTACGTTCCGGCATTTCCTCAAAGAGCTTATGCGCATCAGAAACAAGTCCATAGGTGCCATAATAATGCAACAGAGACGTTCCCACAAAAACATCACTCATTAAACCGACCTTAACAACAAAGCCATGTACTTGCAATCCTTCACCGAACATCGAACCTGACTTATCACACGCCGTAACTAAACTAGCCATCAAAAACCCACTTGACTTAACACCACCTTCAAGCATCTCTTGGAAGAACTCAATGGCCTTGGAATACTCACGCCCTCGGACATAACCCGACATCATTGTATTCCAAGAAGCATCATTTCTCTCAGACATTTCATCGAACATGTAGCGTGCTTGTTTCAAACGACCAAACTTAGCATACAAGTTAACCAAAGTATTCGAATAGAACACGCCGAACGGCACAAACCCCTTCAAACAAAGCCCGTGTAAGGCTCTGCCGGTTATCTCTCTGGTGATTTCCGAGAAACCCTTTCGAGGAAAGCTCGAGATTTCGTGGTTGGGGTGAAGAGAAAGGCATTTGATGCCATAGTTTGCGACCTCTTCTAGGCATGGGGCTGAGAAAACTTGCGCGCTTAAGTAGTTTGTGCGGTAAAATATGTGGAGAGAAGTGGGTTGTTTTGGAAGATGAGATGTTCGAGCTGAGCCTGAGAGTATTTTGCTAAACCCAGCCAGCTTTGATTCTTCTTCGTCGTTGGAAACAAAACCTTGGGTTGTTTGTCCTTTTTCTCTCCTTTGTCTCTAGCTTTTGGGCCGTCGCTTCAGCCCTTGTGAGTTAGTAAAATTACTAAACAGCCCCCCAAAATTTATCGTTATTTAGCAAATTACACCTTAAACTTTTAATTTTAAAAAATTGCATCCTCAACTTATAAAGTTATCGCAATATACTCCATTTTGACAACAATTATGTTAAATTAGTGTCGAAAAGCATGTCCAGTGAGAAATTTTAACATCTCAATTCAAATGTAACACAAATCTTTTAATTTCTGAACTTTTAATCCTTTAAATCTAATAAAAAAATTGAACAAAATTAATAAAATGGGGCATATTACAATAAATTTACAACTTCAGGGTTGATTGTCTAAATTTAAAGTTGGAATATTTACATATTTAACCTGTATTTTATGTTTATTAAAAAAATATACCATCAGTCTTTAATCTCATCAAAAGTATACCTTCAAATTATAATTAATATATAAATCCATACCGTCGAAGATCACGTATCGGTAAATTACAGTAAAAAAAGATCTGTGATCCCATTAAAGATTGAAGATTTGCACTCCATCATTTCTATTTTCTAAGTTGGTGATGCAATAATTTGAGGAGTGTTGAGATTTGGAAAATATTTTGATTGATTTCTTATTATATAATGATTTGTACATGAGTTGTCATTAGGTGTCATCAAAGGAAATTTAGAAAACTTACCTAATTGGGGGAAAATATCACTTATTGACATCTTGTAAACCATTCCTATTTATACTCTTGTACAAGCTCATTGTAAATCATTAAAAAATTATTAAATGAATGAAATTCCTGATAACCACATAAAATTTCTCAAATCTTTCTTTTCTACTATTTTGTTCTTTATTTTCTAGATTACCTTACCTTTTCTTTTTTAAGGACATTGCGGATTATTGCTATATTAATGCTAACTTTTCACTTTATCCAGGCTTGTATCATTAGCCTACTTAAGAGTATGTTTTTCCCTTCATTTGAATGATGTCTTTTATTCACAAATTGCATATTTTGGAAAGCATTTAAACTTTATTTAACCATCAATAAAAGATGATTTTGAGGCTATAATATGACAAATAATTCTAGATAAATAGCCCAATCGGCGAAGTCAGAAACTCGATCTCTGTACTAATTTAAATAGTAGTCCATATTGTCATACGTACTCTCATTAATAAAATATCCCCTTAAGCTTTGCTTATAAATACACCAATCTTCGTTGTTAAAATTCTAACATACATCATTATTACTGCTAACTTCTCCCTTGATTTAAATGACGAGCTTTTCTTTATTTATTGGCGGCTATATATATAATATATATGTGAATATATATACACATATTTGTGTGATATATATACACAAATATGCATGTATATATATGTTGTGTGTATGCTAAAGTTAAATTACAAAGAAAGAAAAGAGTGAAGGGCATGCCATGAAGGGAAATAATAGTGATTGTGTCAAGTATGATTGTTTTTAATGTCGTTTGTACTAGCCGACCCTCTTCTGCTTCACTTCCTTATCCTTTTTTGCATATCAATAATCAAAATCTACCTGATGATCCGGAGAGTAGAAAGAAGCTCACAGATGCTTAGAAAACATTCCAAAGGTGTGTGAGAATGAGAACCCGTTTAGTTTGCTGATTCGAGTTAATAAGGTCTCGTTCATTTCACCGATTCGAGTTTTCAGTTTTAGGTTTCTACAGTAAAAAACTCTCAGAAAATATTACATCTAACTTTTTCTGCTACACTTTTCAGAAAATGTCACATCTCATCTCGAATTAAAAACTCGAATCTACAAAGTGAACGAGGCCTAAATGATTTTATGTCAAAATTTTTTATTGTAGCAAAAAAGTAAAATATGATTATTTTTTAGAGCTTTTTACTGTAGTAAAACTTAAATTAGTAAAATGAACGGGGCATGAATTAAAAGAATGAGAGCGTCATATGAGACACAAGATTAAGAGTAAAGCTCTTTATTTGTTCTACTGCGACATAGTGAAAACCAAGAAGTGCTACGAGAATATTTAACAAATCACAAGTTTTATTGTAGTGTATTCTATTATTAGATATTACCTACAAAAAAAACATTAAATTTTAAAATTTTTTTTGTCTGTAATTTTTTATGAATGAAAACACATATCTTTTAGATCTCAACAGCTCTAAAATTGTAAATAAGAATTGTGAAATGAAAATGGCTGCAAAAAGTGAATAATATGTCAAGAAGAGTCACTTTTAGCATTATCGGTTCCTTAACTTTTTAATAAGTAATTGTTTTGGACCTAAACTTCTTTTTTTTTTTGGGCCAATTAGCTCCTCGAATTGTTAGTTTCTATATTTTTCATCTCTCATCTTAAAATTGACACAATAGATTTTCACAATTTTACTCATTAATAAACTACCATATGAAGCTTATTATACGTTAGCGTACTTGTAAATACACCATTCGGTGTTAACGCTAACTTCTCCTTTAATTTTGAATGATATGTTGCCTTTTTTATCTATTGTCTAGCGTGTGTGTGTGTGTGTGTGTATAGGGGTATGTAACTAAGAATTTGATGGATAGGGGTCAAAACTATAAAAAAGTAGAAAGTAAAAATTTAATAAAATTGAAAATGCTTATTGTCTTTAAAGAGCTATCCAAAACCCTACTACCGTAATAATTATTTATTTATGTTTGTCTGACTTTCCCTATCAAGGAGAGAAGGACCTCTTTTTTTTTCCAAAGTAGCTTCGACAAGTTGTTAATACAGAGTAATAACAGAGTTGATTGTTTTAATTCCTTTATTTGGAATATCAAAAGATCTGTCTACAAGACAAATGTATGTGTCTTATTTAGGTTGGTTTTCAAATTTACTCAATCCATATATATTATTTATTAGGGAGTGTGCAAATTTACTCAAGTTGTTAATACAGAGTAATAAGTAATTGTTTCAATCACATACTAAGATTTAGAACCCGTTTAATTTACTGATTTAAATTTTTAATTCGAGTTGATATGTCATTTTATGTGATAGTTTTATATTGTAACAAAAAAGTTAGATGTAACTGTTTTTGAAAACTTTTTACTATAACAAAACTTAAATCGGTGAAATGAACGGAACTTAAATTTATCTTCGCCGGAGATAAAACATATTAATTTTCGTCATAAATTAATAATCTAATTATTGCGTAATATTATTCAACATGATAATGACATCAAAAATTATTTTTGGAAAAGTTTTTAACTTTTCTCGCAAAATAAAGTTCCATTAGGTATGTATATCTACTGTATTGCTAACTTTCGCTTTATATAGGCTTGTTATCCATTAGCCTATTTCAAGTGTAAATCATATCTTTTATTTATCTATTGTTACCATTGGCTTGTTTCAAAAGATATTTCGCCTAGCATTTCCCTTTCTTTGAATGGTGTTTTTTATCTACCAATTGGATATCTTGGAAAGCATTTAAATTTTATTTCTCCATCAATAAAAAGATCTAAATGATTCAAGATACTTGGTTTATAGGCTAAAATAAAACAACAAATTCTTAGTTACATACCCGAATTGTTCTAGCTAGAAATTCCATCTCTATACTAATTAGTTAGTGTAGTCCATTCTCATACTCTCATTATATAAAACACCCCCTTAAGATTATTATCCATTTAGCTTGCTTAGAAATGCACCCTTTATTGTTTCTAACTTCTCCCTTAATTTAAATAAAAATAAGGTCGCTTTTGTTTACTTATTGACTACTATATATATAGATAAAGTCTCCAGTCTAGCATCAGATTATGTATTTTTTTTAAAACATGTATATTTTTTTTATTAGAATGTGTATATTTTTTTTAAAACATATATATATTGTATATTTTACCATAAAAGAAAATGTACATATTTTAAAAGGAAATATACACATTCTAAAGAAAAAATATACATGTTTTATAGAGAAATGAAAAAGTGCCGCTCCAGTCTGGGTACCGGACTGAAGACAATTCATATATATATATATATATATATATATTATATTATAGTGCGTATGTGTCAACAGACAATAGGTAGCACTCTTATGTTAAATTATAATAAACAAGAAAGAGAATAAAGGGCACGCCATGGAGGGAAGAAACAAGGGAGTATTTATCCTACTAATGGTGATGGTGCAAAGTATGATTGTTTTTAATGTCGTTTCTTGTAGTCAGTCTTCTTCTCCTTCACTTGTTTACGGTCGCTTGCTTACCAACAATCAAAATCTACCTGGTGATCCGCGAAGAACTGAGAAAATTTTGGAGTTCTTTGAAAATGCTAAAAAGGAGTGCAAGGATAAAATAGAGGAACGGGAGCGTCTTCTAGGGCACAAGATTAAGGGAATAGATGTTTATGCGTATTATTGTCTCCTATGGGAAGGTTATAAATGCCGGGACAAGTACTTCAAGTTTGATTCACCAAATCACTAAAATTAGTTTGTATTTTATTCTATTTTTTAAATTTATATGTTATCTATCGGAAAAAAAAAAAAAGATTTGTATATAGAATAACGGAAAAAACATACCCCATATGTGAAAACGTTTTAATGATGCCGTGTCGGATTTTCATTCGGCACTGGTTTAAAAATCGTCATGAAAAGTCTCATTATATTCCGAAGACGATCTCTATGCTCCTAGCCACAATTCTCCTTGAACACGATGATGATCATGTCTTCGATTGCTCACGGTGTGTGATTGTTACATAGGCATAATCCGAACAATCACCAATATTCCACAATCCAAGAACCCTCTTGAGAAAGGAACGTGAAAAAAAAAGGAGTGAGAGAAGGTGGAGAAAATATCACGTATCTGATTTTTTTTTTTTTTTTTAATATGTGGTGATATGGTCCTTATTTAAAAAATTCCTGTCAGTCATGGGTATCCCAAATAACCCACTAACCTACTAATAAGAGATTATTTATTTAATTAAAATTCAATTCTAATTAAATAAATAATGCCACCTTGGTCAAGC